TCACCAACATAGTAGAAGATCTTTCAGAAGCTGGCGCTTTCTTATGTTTTATTCTCTGGAGTGTGAGCTTTACAAGCAGAGAGGTTAGATTGTGAGGAGGAAGGGGTGCAGGAGAGGGGCAAGGAGACAAGGGATGCTGTTAGTAGAATGGGCTGGAAGTCCTGACTGGTGTGTTTGGCTCAGGAGGGCCCTCTGGCCAGCTCCACAGACAGGTCTGGTTTTAAAAAGTGCCAGGGAGCCATGGATTTGCATGTTATTTGCGTTCCAGGCTTCAATTCCAGGTATGTGGAATGAAATGAATGAATGAACAGTATTCAGGCTCTTGGTTAAGGGGTGGACTCAGGAATCCAGACCACACTGAGGACCCAATCACTGGTCCCACTTGGATCAGGAGACATAGACACAGAGACAGAATAAACAGTCAAAGAGACAGAGAGACAGTCTTAGAGAGACAAACACCACCAAGTCCTTTTTTACCAGGGAGTTTCCAGTCAAAGCAAGAAAGCAAAATCCACAGAATTTATTTTAAATAAATCAACTTTTAAGAACTAGGGAGAGAGTTACACACAGGTAGATAAACGCAACATCATCCCTGACTTATCTCCACCTCTGTCCCTCCATCATCCACATCCAGCTTCTAACTGGAGTGTGCGCCAGGAGTCGGCCTTCTTGATAAGGTCCCTTACTTGCTGTCTGCCTAGCCTCCAAATTAGTTAGACTCTAAGGTCCTTGAGGACAGGTGGCTTTTATTTCCTTGGTCAAAACATCTTTTTCACTCCACCCAAGGCCAGTGCTTAAACACATGCTTATTAAACACCCAGCGTAACGGGTTCCGCAGAATATCAGATGAGGCAAATGCCCTCCAGGAACTTAGCTCTGGCTAACAGACAAGACACAGGCAGCACGTAAAATGGTCCACTGAAATGACAAGGCAGAAAGGGACTCAGTCTCAATCCACAACAGCACTGGACATGAAAAAGCTGGAGAAGACTAGAAAGGTGTGTGGTTAGAAAAAACAAAATACTATGATTAGCTCCTTGGGACAGAGACCGAGGCCCGGGAAGGGCATGCTAAACTGCCACGGAAGATGTTTAAGGGCAGAGTGGGGCATTAGGTTTGGGACCACGAAGGAGGTGCAGCCCCACTGCGGGCGCCGTAAGCAGTCCTCCTTCCTCAGCCCTTGAAATGCTGTCTCCTCAATCAACATTTAATGCAGTTACCCCTACTCCTCACTGGCCGGCCAGAGAAGCAGCTTGCACTCCTGGCTTGAAGAAAAAGCACCAACTCATTCACCTGCTCTCTGTGACTACAGGTCTCAGTCCATTCCTGATGTAAAAGACAGATTACAAACATGGAGTTATAACGTTTTCTGATTATAAGGGCTATAGCTGTTCAGATAAGAGATTTTTAAGATAATGTGATCAGAGAAGGCTTCAGGGAGATGGGATTTGGGTGTGTGTGCTCTGTCGGTACTTAAGAACGAACCAGGAGTAAACTGAATGAGGTGTGCCCAGCAGACTGAAGACTCTGGGCTCCTTCTACATCTCTTTCCCACACTTTCCCTTCCGGACATTGATGTTCTGCAGAGTGGAAGAACAACCTCCAGGAGTCAAGCAGTTGATGGCTACTTGTCAGCTGAGAAAGGAGAAGTCAACAGCTATGATCTGTCCCACTAGGGTAAGACTCTGACCTGGGCCTTAATTGTAAGACCAAGCCATATTAACACTGGCCTTAAACTTGAACTTTGAATCACTACCTTGACTGAATTCTATTCCAAGCAGGATTATGGCCCTCCACATTTCGGAATCTTAGACTCTGACAAGACCCTAGGTATCTGGTCCAATCACTCACAGTGAGAATTATTCTTGCCCTATCCCTGACAGCCCAGAGAGGCAGTCTGTACTAATATTATTTCAAGGTTTATCTTCTGGCTCAAAGTCTTCAAGTTTCTCTTTTCTATCCCACAGGGGATTCATGTGTAAGTTCCCCCTTATCTTAGTGGGTGACCAGCATGACCCCATATAGCCTTATGTCCCTCCTCACCTCCAAAGCTGGGAATGATAGTCATGGCCTCTTAATAGAGGTCAGGATTCAGCAAAGGTGAAATAAGGCTCCGGGCTCTAAGGAAAGATGCTGGACTGAGCCTTACATTTTAGGATGAATTCCAAGCTATGGGTAGGTTCCTTCTGGGCAGGGAAATATGGTGACTTTCCCAGGAGCTCAGCATGTAGCCTGAGTCAACGACAGGGCCTAAGAGTCTATACTGCACCTCGCCCTGGCCCATCCAGGCGGAGCAAGGGAGAAGACAAAGTCCAAGTGTCAGTCGTCTCTCTCTCTTACTCTGGCAAGACATATTTGAGAACTGAAGGGATGGCACAGAAGGACCAGAGGCTGAAACATAAAAACACTGGGGTTCTTAAGTGAATCCTTTCCCTCTCCTTAGGCCTTTTATAGGCCACGTAAAACCAGGTGGTGATGGACAGACTACGCGATGGGGTTGCTGGCAGTAAGTACTTTTTCAGGTCATGTGTTTCTGCCTCAGGGCACTAAAACTTGGGGCTAACATTGCTAGGGGCAGTGGGTAGAAGGTGCTGGCACAATTACAGGAGCTAAAGAAGAGAAGAGTTGATACCATAAAGTATGAAGCACCTCATATATAGAGGAGTCAATTTCCACAATGTCTCCATGAGGAAGAGGGAAAAGTACTCTTACATCCGACCCCAAACGGGACTCCCAGGAGCAACAACGGGTCCCCAGCAACAAATGGGACAGAACTAACCTCCATGCCTTGGACCATGTATTCTCAAATGTTCCATCTGATTTTCTCCATACAGGGTCCAGGAGTGATTGGCAGGACTGTAGTTCCTGTTGAAGGCTCTGTATCTAGATAGAGTTCATCATCCCTCAAGCGTTACTTTTTAAGGGGAGGTAAGAGATTATGAGCACTGAACACAGGGAAGAAGGAAAAACAGGAGAAAAGGCAGGCAAGAGGCTTTAGTTTAAAGCAGTTTAACTAAGATATTGGTAGCATGCCCTTGGCCATGGAATGTGGGAACCTCCTTCTCCCCTCCCTGGTCATCAAAACCCACCCTTAAATGAAGGAGAAACTAAGTTCCCAGATGCTAGTCCTATATTTGTTGGCTAGTACTCTGGAAAAATGGCCCACTACGGATGTCTATACTTGGTTCCCACTGAGCCACCCTGGGCTACAACCTATGTCTCAGCTTGGTCCACCCATGTAGGGTGGTCTTAGGATCACTAACTTCGCCTTGTACATAAATGCACTGGTCAGAAAGGGGGTCCACGTTCAGACAGGCTCAACAATTCCTTATATATTTTTCAAAGTGCTTTTGTTGCATGTTTCATTTTCTGTTATACATGGCAATAAATATTTGTTGCTTTGGTCTGTACAAAAAGTCTGTGAGGAAGGTAAGACAGATGTTGTTATCTAAATGGACAAACAATAAATACAGACACCTATCTTGTTCTGAGTCCCCCCAGATAATAGCAAGAGCACCTGAAAAACTCAGGTCTTTTGACTCATAGTCCAAATCTATGCCATACTGCCACCTTTCCATTTGTCACTGAAATACATTAAGTACCAAGAATCCATGTGCAGGAGTCATACAATGAGCCTGCACACCGTAGCTTTCTAAAAGAGAATGTGAAAGGTCTCAGCAACTCATAAATAGAAAGCTATTTATTTCCTATAGAAAAACACAAGAAAGAAAAAGAAAGAAAGAAAGAAAGAAATAAAGAAAGAAAGAAAGAAGAAAGGAAAGAAAGAAAAAGAGAAAGAAAGAGAAAGAAAGAAAGAAAGAAAGAAAGAAAGAAAAGAAAAGAAAAGAAAAGAAAGAAAAGAACGAACGAACGAACGGTGGTCTTCCCCAAAAAGGCAGGCAGTTATGAAAAAGGTAGGACATCTGGTTGCTGGAGTGGAAACAGTAACATTCAGTTAACAATGGAATATTTAAAAAAAATAGTTTTCTTTTCAAATTGTAACCTGTGGTAAAACATAGAAAAATGTACTAAACAAGCTTGGTATAAAACAGAGTAAAATTTTCAAATAAGCCCAGAGAGAAAGCACAATGTCGGAAAGGATGGGGTACAAGGGAAGAAGAGAAAATATTTCATACAAAACTACCTATTACAATACAGAAAAAAGTATAAAACGTTCCTATTTTGGAACTTAAGTACAAAATGACACTGGCATTGGATCGTTCCACTATCTAGCCTGAGGAGCGCTCAGAGGGCGGGGGAGATGCTAGAAAGAACAAAAGGAATAGCAGTTTTTTTAGTCTCAAGTTGATCAGTCCAAATTCCACCCGTTTTCCAGTTGAAAATCTTTGCCTCCCTCTGAAACCTTGACCCCTAAGCCAAAGTTCATCCAGGCCTCAAAATATTGTTAGGAAGTCCACAAACACCCTACACATAGGGGCTGGGATCTGTGCGTGCTAGAGCTAAAGTTGGAAAAAGGAAATAAATCTACAGGCTAAAGTGGTGAACACATTCAGCCTTTTAAAAAAACACATATCCCTGTGAAATATATATATATTTATATATATATATTAAATTCTCTGTGGGTAGAAACCTATTTAGACTAACTAGCCACAGACCAAACTAGACCTGCATTCATCCCATGCTGGAATTTTACGCTAAAGACTGAGGTCCTTCTTCTTGGTCAGAAGTCGGCGGCAGTAAAAGTGGTGCCTTTGTTGCCCCACTGAACTGCTCCCTGGGTGGGTCTTCTCTGTCATGTGTTGTGAGCACATGCAAACCCCTGCTTTAAGGAAAGGCCTGCCTGGGACTTTGGGGTCCCCCCCGGGCTCATGTGTTGTGCCTCAGGCTGGGAGGAAGCTACAGATGACAAAACAGCCTTGTACAGAAGCAGATGGATCTCACAAAGAGGCATATAAATAGGGAAGTCCTGGAGAAGGGACTTAAGCGTGTGACCCCAAGTCCAGTTTACAGTCACTTTCCTGACAACACATCGTGAAAATCCTGCGTGTATGTGTGAGTGTATATGCTGGTGGTTTTCATCCCTACCTTTTTGCCCATGCCCTTTCCTACCTCTTAGTAAGGCCTAACAACAAGAGTTTATGTGAAACCAAGAGTCTGTCCAAGCTTCTCTCGGCCCCCGAATTAGGGACTGAGTGAGGCTGGAGCCCTTTGAAAACAAGATGGCAGAACTGAAGAAGTGAAAAGCAGTCTCTCTCTTCAGCTTAGGGATGTCCCTCACCCCTTTCACAGCACCAAAGTTTCTTTGCAAAAATAGTATCTGAGATACAAAAGGAAAGGCAGATGTGCTTGTGAATGCATCTCGCCAGGGCCTGGTCCAGGATCAAGGGCTTTACAAGAACAGAGGGGTGGGAGCAGCTGTTTCCAAGGTCTCTGGCTGTAGACAACAAAGAGCTGGTCCCCCACAAGGTCAGTGTCGGCTAACTGAGACAGTCTTCACAAAAGCTTTCGGTGGAGAATCTCCCAGACCATCCGCTTCCGGAAGTATGGCATGTGTTGCTGTAGGGACACAGAGATACCCTTAATTTTTTCATTGCTTTTATCCAGACCCAACACTCCTTTCCTTCTCAAGGTTTTCAATTAAAATAGCTTTAGTTGCATTTCCGGTCTTTCAAATTGCTCAATTCTTGATCACATGTAATTTTTTTTCTATTGCTATCTCTACTGCTATTTTCTCTTGTTGTAGCCTTACAAACTTTATTGGGCATCACCAGGAGTCCCCAGGCTACACCCAAATGTCTCCAAGAATTTTGAGGATGGTGTCCATCAAGTCCTCTATGTTGAACTTTTAAGACGATAGGAGATCTAAGGCCTGAAAATCAAAAACTTAAAACTTACTTTTTAGGGGAAGAGTTATGGAACTGCAAGAGTCAGCTCCACCCAAGGGCTATGGTGGAAAAGTCTGGTAAAGCCATTAATTTAAAGTTCAGGACATAAACCATAATCTCCAGTCTCAATCCACTTTGGTCCCTGAAGGACCACATGGACAGAAATAAACAATCACAAACTAAGAGGAGACTGATGAGCTGCATCAAGTGAGGGGCAGGGGAGCAGGGCAGCATGACAAATTATACTAGGAGTTCAAGGTGTAGCCTGTTCCAAAACCTGACTGCTAACCAGATGAAGAGAAAATGAAGAAAACTTGCTCTGGTCCCAGTTCTCTGTTTCTTACAGGATTTGAGGTAGATGGGGGGAGAGGGGCAGAGAAGAAGGCTCTGCTAATGACCAGGATTCCTTGACTGTAGCATGTGATGTAAGGGAATCCAGCATGTGGCCTATCACTATCCTTCTTTTTCTTGTGATGTGGTCTACATGGTAACCACCAGTGTTATGGACCATAGGCAGAGTTCATTAGGCAGAGCAGGGGGAGGAAAAAACATCTATCGGGCAGCCTAGAGACAGGGTGGTCCCAGGGCTCCTTCCTGAAGGCTCAGCTCACCTGTGTGAAGTTGATTGGTCTGTCTTTGGTAATGCAGTCAGCATATTTGCAAGCAAACATGCCACAGTCACTTCCATTCATCTGCTGTGGAATTTCCTGAAAGATCAAAAATAACAAAAAGGTGACATCTTTCCAAGCTTCCTTCCTTCATATTAGATTATAAATAAGAACCAAAGGATATAAATGTTACAGGTTTCCCTGAATTTTGAAGAGGTGACCCTAAGTCCCTCACCCCAGAACACAGGCTCAGAGAAAAAAAATACAGCATCTCAGTCAGGTCTTCATATTAATATTAATCTTCATTATCAGGACTATCTTAGACTTCCATGACACCTAAAGATATAAAGACAAGTCCCTCCCATAAGGGCCGATCAGCAACCATTTCCCACAGGAGTGAAAAGCTCAGTAAAACAGCTGGGCACTCAGAAAACCTAGTTCTACCTAAGAAACACATGACCAGTTTTCCCACAGCCAGGGCTTACTCTTATCTTCCTCTGAGGAACCAAACAACCAAGCTGAAGTCAGGCTAGACACTAAGAAGGTCCCTGGGAATCAAGCAATAAAACCCTATCCTTCCCAAATACCCTAATATCAGGATTTCCACCTGATGAGATGAAATGTACCTGGCTTTTCTTGCTGAAGAGCTGCCAGCCATTGGTGTCAAACTCTTTCCTTTTCTTATCAATGCTTTCTTGTTTCAGGTATTGCCTAAAGGTATTAGGAGAGAAGGAGATGAGCTGTGGGGGCACTGATGACAGCTGCCACCCTAAGAATGAGGTTAACAATCCTTAGGAAGGGTTTTCATCTGCACTTCTGAGGAAAACAGTATATAATGCTGGGCGGGGAAATCTTTGGACTGCTAAGCTTCCCCTGCAGCTCCCATAATTCATGCCCATCCTGTCAACCCAAGAGAAACAGGACCTCTGCCTCTGACACCCAGGTTCCTTCTACCTATTGTTCCTCCTGAGGAATGAGGTTTGATTCTTTTCCTTGGTTTATATGGTCCTTCAGAACTCGACCGCATGGAAGGTTTCTCTAGCAATATCAAGGCAGCTATTCACTATTTATAGTCTTGATTCTCCTGTGTGAAAATTCAATCCAAATCACAATTTGATGAGTGCATACTTCATACAGAGCACTCTTCTTAAGTGCAAACTGTTCACCTCCTCCTGGCCACCAGAATGGTATAGTCGTACAGTGAGGAATAGGCATTTTGGAAAGACAAACAGATGGGGTATAAGGAGATTTGCATTCTGGTTCCCAGTTGAGCCACTAACTAGTAGGACCTGAGCATATCAAAGTCACCTCTGTGGGTCTCGGGTCCTTCAGCTGAAAAATTAGGGAGGTTGGATTAGATGACTTCTAAGTAGTTTCTATATTATATGTACATATTGACTCATTCGTTATTTTAGTGCACTGGGACAATAGTTGTCCCCATGAGGGCATCTTTCTGGTATTATTATATTATTATTAAGCTTTACTTACTCAGACATAAAATATCCATTCTTACCTCAGTGTGAAGATTTCCTTTATTAATCATAATCACTCCACTAAAGGTATCAAAGAACACAACATACACCCAACACCAAACTCTTTTGTTCTCAACTCCCTACTTACAGGAGGATCCTGCAGGCTTCATTGTTTATCCCACCCATAGAGTCGTAATAGGTAATATTCTTCTTTCGAAAGTCCACAACCTGGGAATAAAAAAAATCTGTGTGTTCATAAAATAAGAAAAATAGTTTCTCAGCTTTCACTTCCCTGGAACTTGGAAACTTTTTTTTTTTTTTTAAGATTTTATTTATTTATTTGACAGAGAGAGACAGCGAGAGAGGAAACACAAGCAGGGGGAGTGGGAGAGGGAGAAGCAGGCTTCCCTTGGAGCAGGGAGCCCAATGGAGGGCTCAATCCCAAGACCCTGGGATCATGACCTGAGCCGAAGGCAGACGCTTAACGACTGAGCCACCCAGGCGCCCCAAACTTGGAACCTTTTGCCAGATTCCCTGTGAAATCATGACAAGTTTGACTGATACTTTGCATTATACCATGCTTAAACTGCAGAGGAAAGAACAAGGGGTTTATTTACATAGTACTATCGTGGCCTCATTAATGGCCCTGAAATCTTTTTCTAGTATTTAGGTTCTCCATCTGCCATGTGGGCAACAGTGAAGACACACATTCTCTTCAGAGACTGTAAGATGAACGAGATCATTTCCACAGGGTTTCAGAAAGATGGCAAAATATTCCGCATTTTGTTTCTTTATGTGGAGAATTTCTCTTTGGCTTTATGCTTTTCAAATGTAATTCAAAATAGATTGTGAGAGAACTTTTATATTTTTATTAATATATTAAATGAATGTATCCATGTTCTCAAAGAGTCATAAAAAATATTAAACTATCAAGTATGCAAGGCAAATCATAATTGGGGAGAAAATAAGTCACAGAATCTGAGTTGGCAGGATCATTAAGAAGTCACTTTTTCACCGCATGCCTTGCCTTGAGACTGTTTAGCCTTACAGCTCCCTTCTAAATATTTCCAGAAAAGGAAATTCCACAACTTTCTTCAAAGTCTAAGTATCTCCCACTCTTGACAGGAAGTTCACTGATCTATCCAATTTTTAGCCAAAGAAATACTATTCTTTCTCACAATCACCCAGTGAAAATGTAGAATTACTACTCACTACTCTGTATAGTCTATAATTCTGTAGAATTTCTTTTAAATTTGATTAAAAGTAAGAGAGGTACTCACAGCAAGACACCAGTGCACTCCCAGGTGAATGGGCACCAAAAGAATGTCAACAGAAAATACATCCACTTTCTTTGTCCAACGTTTCACTGCCTGATAACCAGCCGTTTTTAACTTAGTGAAAAAAAAGGTATTAAATGCATGCACACTTGGCAATCCCTTCTCTTTACTTCGCTCCATCAACATATTCATGTAGAAATTGATTATCTGTGGGAAGAAATTAAATGTATTAAAAGATACTCAGTCCTTCCAAAAGAGTTGTGTCGTATGAAGGAAAAGCAGTTGCTGTGTTGCACAGCATATGTTATTGTTTCCTTATCAGTTAAGATTTCCACACCCCAAAGCCTCATGCCCCTACATCAAGTTCTGGAGGCTTGAGGTGCTTATAGACAGTGAGAACAGAAAAAGCTGATATAGTTCTAGCTCTAGCTCTACAGATCTACAGATATCTTATGGGGTTGAGGATCCATATGGGTGCATGCTAGTCTGATCTGTAGAAGACTAAGGATTAGGTCCAAAAATAAGGAGGAGGAGGAAGGGGTGCTAGAAGGCACGACTTAGAGAAAAGGAAAGGAAGGAGCCAAGCAGTTTGACAGACACATTAGAGGTACTTTAATCTACTGGGACTGGGTGAGCAACTGAAATAAATCCTGAGCTCACAGTCTAGTGTAATAAAGCTAAGACCAACAGTTCAGTTCTTACATGTGGGTCACCTGGTTGTGCACAGACAGAAAACTGTTCCATGACTAAAGACTGCCTTTTCAGCCTAATAAGTTGGCTTGCATTGGTGACCGGCTCTGGTCTCAAGTAGAACTGAGTGACAAGATAAACCATCAACTGTACTAGAAAAAACACCTCTCAACTGACTAGTAGCTCAGCACTGTCACCTCTGCAGAGGCAGAAATGGACGTTGTATAAAAACCTACATTACATGAGACCTGAAAGTCCAGTCACAAACATGAAGAGTCAAGTTTTCCTCCAGAATCCATATGGTTAGCTTTCTCATTTTTGTTGATTCCATATATGCCTCCAATATCAAGTATGAGTGTAAGAAATTGAAACACTTGACACGGAAGACACGGGATTCCTCCTGCTGACGAAACAATGTATTCTCTAATAGTGACTATGTTGACTATGGTTCTCTTTAGGTCTGGGACTCCTTCCTACTAAAGCTTGAAAGTTACTGGGCCGGAAGTTACCGCATACTTACTTCATGTGGCTGGCTGAGGCCAGGCCAGTGTCTGTCAACTGCAAGGAATGAATGGGCTAACTGATCCACAGCCTGGAAATATGACTACGAAAACAGGCACATTTTTCAGAATGCTTTTTGGGGAATGGGAAAACGCCCCTGTCCTTTGACAAATATTTACACATTAGGATGCCAGAGCAGGGAGCTACTGCCCAACAGTAGGCAGCTACATACTGGGTAGGCGGCAGGGAACACTGCCAGGAACACACCGAAACATGGTCGAGACTAGAGAAAGGGCCTATAGATGAGGATGCCTCGGCAGTTGCAGGGAAACCACACTCGCCATGAAGCGGAGCTCTGAGGGTGGGGGTTGAGGGGTAGACTAGGATTGAAGAAAGACACTGTTCTGCCTGCATCTATGAAGACTGAACAAGAGGCCCAGCAGGTCCAGAGGACTTGGGTTGTGGCTGATCCTCTGCCTAGTGTGATGGCCAACAGATAACTGGAGCTCAGTTATTTTAAATAATAGTGAATCAAAACATAATTAGGGTCACAGATTTCTCAAACTGAGGTTTTCAATCTAACTCTGTCCCCAAGGATAATGGTGCAAAAGGACGATTCCAGGCTTGTGAAAGGCAGCCAGGAATGCAGGAGGACCTGCCCAAAAAGCACAGATTTCTAGGCTATAAAACTACATTCTCTAGTGAGAGAAAAACTGCAAGAAGGGATTGATTCCTCTGGTATTCTACTCATCCCACAATATTAGCCATGTTATGAGGCTAAACCCTTTAATCCAAGGGGTGAAGTGAATAGGCAGATGACCTATCAGTCACTGTAAGCCAAACCTTCCATGGGGCAAACAAAAGTCATACACTGTAAAAGGCAATACGGACTCAAGCAGAAAGTGGAAAGAATCAGGCAGAAAGATAAAGACAGCCAAGCACATGAAAGCCGTGGAGATGTATCTCCTTTAGGTGCCCTTCAGGGGGCATCACCTTTGGGATCATTACCCTGAAGTAAAAAAAGATGACATAAATGAGTATCATGCTACCCATGATTTTCCTGTTTTAGAAGGAAAGAGTTCCAGAAGCCAACGAAGTGAGACTTACACAGCCCGGCTTGTTTGGTTTCTTATCTTTACATTTTTATTTTGAGAGTGTGGACTATAAAGCTAAAGACCAACCCAGCTTAAGGAGAACGGAGACCTGATGATCAGGATACACATTATCTATTTCCTTTGACAATCCCTCTTCCATCGCTTTAGTTCTGCCTCCAACCAAGGTTTCTCCACTGCCAGGGAAATGGCCTCCTCCCAAGTCAGCTTGTCAATTAGCTCTAAGGAGGGATCTGGGCTCTTTCTCATTTCCTCTATATCCCAGTAGGAGGGAGCTTGGTGGCCTCAATGTTCTCCCCATTAGCTGAGGATATACAATCTGACATCTGAGGCAGAACCGAGATCCCAGTTTCCTCAGTTTTGCAGCTATTACTCTGTCCAAATGAGGAAAATTGCCATAGTTCGACCAAGACACAGTCCTACCAAAAAAACAAGCTAGGAGTTAAGAGAACAAAAAGAATCGTACATGTCATCTCACAGAGGAGGGTTGAAGGTGAAGGAAAAAGACATGAAAGAAGGGATCACAGTGCTTAAGATGAAACAGAAGCAGTGATAGGCATTTGCTTGTATTTTGTGAAGACAAGGGTCCCTCTCCTCCCACAGGGAGAGCCTTTCTGCACACAAGACTCTTCTTAGCTCCAAAAGATCTTAATTCCCCTTCAAATAAGGAGCTAAAAGTAGTCAGTCAGCCCTGTGCTACTGTTTGTCTTGCCAATACACCAGCATCTGGGGACAACTGCCAGTGTTGGTCCACCTGTCCCTCTTTCTGGGGCCCACACTTGTCTGTCAGCTTTGCCGCAGCTCCAGGGCCTCAGGAGCTGCCCTTCATGCTGCCTTCACAGCCTTGGCCATGAGCGCCTGCTTGTCTATGCAGTGCTTTTTTTGGGGGGGGAGGGAGACTGTTGTTTATAGTGTCTTGCTCCTTTGTGATTGTATTTGAAGAGCTGCCAGGCTGAAGCTGGAAAAGCTTCTCTTTAAAAGAAAAGCTTACAACGTTTTTAAACTAAGGACTCAGTCCTTTTCCTGTATGTTACCACAATGACATAAATGACCACTGCTATTTTTATCTTCCTTCTCACCTAGTTAAACCAGCCAAACTATTGTCTTCTCATCCTTTTAGAAGTAAAATATCTCACTAACAGTAAAATCTTAACTTTTAACCCTTCCCGATTTTACACCCTGAACCTTTTTTTTAAAAGATTTATTTTTATTTTATTTGAGAGAGAGAAAAAGAGGAGAGCGTGCACATGAATGGGGGGAGGGGCAGAGGGAGGAAATCTTCAAAAGACTCCCTGCTGAGCGTGGAGCCTGATGCCGCTACTGGATCTCAGAGCCCCGAGATCACCAACCTGAGCCGAAACCAAAAATCAGACTCTTAACCGACTGAGCCACCCAGGCACCCCTGAACCTTTCTAATTGGCTCTGGGAAAAAAATGTTCTGAAAGTCATGGGTATAACAGTGCTCCTAAGTAGAAACCAAGACAAGTTTCAGGGGGGAAAAAGCCATTTTTCCTGTTTTACTTCTCTATGTTTTCACCTTAACCTCCCTGTTCTGATTTTTAAATTAAATCTATCCTTGCTGACCACAAAGCCCAAAAGACCAGCCAAGCAACAGAACTTAAATACCAGGAGTCAGAAGATCATCCACTCCTAAGAGCTAACCTAATTAATATAGAAGGTAGACTTCAGGCAAGCTCTGTGTATTGCATCTCTCACTGTGAACATGTCCCCAGGATTCTTCTCACATGCAAATTCAAGTATCAAATTATTAGAATCACTGCTAAAGTTTTAGTCAAAGACAGGCAGGCAACACCTATTTTTATGGAGTTGTGACAACTGTAATTACTATTCTCCCTGTGACCCTGCATAAATCCCTGATTTATCAAAAGGACTAGTTCTCTTAAGAAACACTTTAAAGAGGTAACTATAATGATGTGGAATCTACCAGTGAGTCATGTTAGAAACATTAAAATTTCCATTGTGATCATTTTATTCGACATGTAAGAGTGCATTGCATATGGTAGACACATCATATTCACTTAACTAACTTATCTCATTTTGCCTAGTTCCCCCCCCCCTTCTTATAGAATCAGTTTTTATTCCCTAAAGAAAACTTACTCCCTTTGCTAGGCTTGTCTAGTTGGGCTTAATGTTCTACAAGCTGTTTCCCCTCTTCTCTGAGCATTACTTAAATTTAATGGCTCCTTGGAAACAACCAGAAAGCTATGACCACTACCAATTCCCCATTTCCACTTTTATTATGAAAGAATGCTAGATAGAGTTATGTGCTCTGATTTCAGATGCTGATTCCACAAAAATCAGATGACCTTGGTATACCCCTTATTAAGTCTTCATACTTCCCCACTATCAATCAAGTAAGAATACCTTCCCTATACACAAGGCTATTGTGATGCAGAATAGCTGAAAGACACCTCTTTCCTTTCAGAGATGAGACAAAATCGGTAACTGGTCTGCCTGGTTAGCTTGGTCATCAGTGTAGTCAGTTTGCTAATAGAGATTCCACTTTATTTCCTCCTGCATGCCCTCACTCCCCAAATATGCTCTTAGTCTCTTCCTTACGGTGCTTCCCTAGCTAGGAAAAAGTCAGAAATACAGTATTCCAACAGTCTAATGCTTTTTTGCATTTTGGAAACAACTGACAATAATTAACAAGGGTTTGCAAAATAAAACAAAAGACCTGCCTGCTTGGTATTTTCCAATTCATCCATGTAAATCAGTACTAAGGTATGCACGAAGGACAGAGTCCTGGAGGGAAAATGAAGAGACTGGAAGTACAGCATCATCCTGTTTCTCCACATGGGATGGGGCACATTTAGTGCTGTCCAGAGGAGGAAGTGTTTCCTGCCCACAAGATCCATCTACCTACTCTGGCTTTCTATATCT